TTTTTTTTTTTTTCCTTTGAGACGGAGTTTTGCTCCTGTTGCCCAGGCTGGAGTGCAATGGCGAGATCTCAGCTCACCACAGTCTCCGCCTCCTGGGTTCAAGAGATTCTTCTGCCTCAGCCTCCCGAGTAGTTGGGATTACAGACATGTGCCACCATGCCCGGCTAATTTTGTATTTTTAGTGGAGATGGGGTTTCTCCATCTTGGTCAGGCTGGTCTCAAACTCTTGACCTCAGGCGATCTGCCTGCCTCGGCCTCCCAAAGTGCTGGGATTACGGGCGGGAGCCGCCACACGGCACCCAGCTGTAACCCTTCTTTTAATATCCCACTGGCAAGAACAGAGCGAAATGACCACACCTTGCCGCAGGGGCGGCTGGGAACGTGGCTGCCCAGATGAACGAGACTCTCTTATTGGCAGAAGGGGAGTAGGGGGCTTAGGCAGGATTCTCTAAGTGTCTCCATCCATTTTACAGATGAGGAAACCGAGGCCCCAAGAGAGGCAGTGACTCACCAGGGGGCCCACGGCCAGGACTGAGCGCCAGAGCCAGGATTCTCACCTGAACCCCGTAATCTCCAAGCTGCTGATGTGAAAGTCTCAGACTCTGCAAATCCCCGCTGCACCCCTCAGGTTGGGACCATTTCAAACCCCCCTGTGCCAAGCTCAGAGCAGCCCAGGGCCAGGCGCATGGCTGGAGGGCTGGACCCAGGTTCCTGGCTGTGGACTCATGGCTGAGGGCTTAGCCGCTTTGTGCCTCAGTTTCCTCATCTGTAATATGGAGACAAGAAGGGGCCCCGCCTCCAAGGGTTCCCACAAGACACGTGACTTCATGTGAGCCATTCTGGGGGGGCCCCAACACGATAGGTCCTCAAGGGTATTAATCGTTCTCATGCTGCTGCTGCTTGGGGTATAGACATGCGTAGTTTCTGGGGCTCCAGGAAATGACAGAGGGGTCTCCAAAGGTCTCCTGTCTCGCATAACCCACAAATAAACTCTGATAGTCACTATCTGTGTGTTAATCAATATTCAATTGTGCTGGGTGACGAAGCCCAGGCCCATGGGTGAGACTTGGGTGGGGTGTGGGGAGGGCAGGAGTGAGGCCCAGGGCATGGCCCTGGTAGGCCCCAGTCAGGGACCCGTGTTCCACCCATTTTTTTCGTTTGGTTTTGGTTTGGTTTTGAGATGGAGTCTTGCTCTGTGACCCAGGCATCATCTCACCTCAGATAACCTCCGCCTCTCGGGTTCAAGCAATTCTCCTGCCTCAGACTTCCGAGTAGCTGGGATTACAGGCTTGGGCCACCACACCCAGTTAATTTTTGGTTTTTGTGGGGTTTTTTTGAAATAGAGTCTTCTTCTGCTGCCCAGGCAGGAGTGCAGTGGCATGATCTCGGCTCACTGCAACCTCCACCTCTCAGATTCAAGAGATTCCCTTGCCTCAGCCTCCTGAGTAGCTGGGATTATAGGCACAGGCCACCACGCCTGGCTACTTTTTAACCTTTTTAGTAGAGATGGCATTTCACCATGTTGGCCAAGCTGGTCTTGAACTCCTAACCTCAAGTGATCCACCCACCTTGGTCCCTCAAAGTGCTGGGATTACAGTCATAAGCCACCACGCCTGGCCTGAATTGTATACTTTTAAATGGTTAATTCTATGTTAATGTGATTTTCACTTCAACATTTTTAAAAAGAGGGTTTTGGCTTTCACCCAGACTGGAATGATGTGTTGTGATCATAGCTCACTGCAGCCTCGACTTCCTGGGCTCAAGCGATCCTCCTAACTCAGCATCCAGAGTAGCCGGGACTATAGGTGCACGCCACTACACCTGGCTAATTTTTGTATTTTTTATTTCATAGAGATGGGACTCCCTAGCTAAAGTAATTCTCTTACCTCGGCTTCCAAAGAAGCTGGGATGAGATGGGCATGCCATCATGCTCCCTCCCACACACACAAACATAAAACAAGGCCGGCATAGTGGCTCACGCCTACAATCCCAGCACTTTGGAAGGCCGAGGCAGGTGGATCACCTGAGGTCAGGAGTTCGAGACCAGCCTGACCAACATGGAGAAACCCTGTCTCTACTAAAAATACAAAATTAGCCAGGTGTGGTGGCAGGTGTCTGGAACCACCGCTACTCAGGAGGCTGAGGCAGGAGAATTGCTTGAACCCAAGAGGCAGAGGTGGCACTGAGCTGAGATCGCACCACCGTGCTCCAGCCTGGGCCACAGAATGAGACCCCATCTCAAAGAAAAAATAAAAGGAGAGAAGCATAGGTCCGCATCCTGGACCAAGTGCTGTGGTTCCTGGGGGCCTCAGCTCACTCCTCTGTAGCCCAAGACAGTGTAAGCTCAGCCTAGAAACTTTAGGATCGATGAGACCCAAGTCAGGAGCAGGTAGGGAGAGCTCCATCGGGCCCCTCCAACCCGTGTGTGATGCTGCAGTCCCCAAGCCTGCCTGGGCTCAGAGGGCTGGGATTTTGCAGGGTGAGTGGCCCTGTCATCAGTGACAATTGGTCTAGTCGGATCCAAGGCCAGGATGGGTCATCCTCAGGCCCCCGGTCACACACAGACGCCCTGAAATGAGATCTGGGGCTGCTTTCGGGGCAGCGGGGAAGGATGGCAGACAGGACAAATGTCATTTACTTTCTGGCTGGATCGGATTCCCTGGCCGGCGCCAGAGGAGCCTGGGCGGGACCTGGCAGACGCCCCATGCACTGGGAGCCGGGAAAGGCAGGCAGGTGCCTTAGCACCAGAGACCTAGTTTTTCCAAGAAAGCTGAAAAGTTTGGGGAGAGGGGTACATTTTGCATCATCCCCGCTCACCTCCCCTTCCAGGAGAGCTCACTGTCCCTCCTCTCAGATTCCCAAGGCCAGGCCAGGTCTCCTCCCTGACAAAGACTCTCTTCTTGACAAACCTGAGTCAGAGTCCTCTGAAATCGCTCCTTTATTGGACCTTGACCTTGGCTCCCATCCTGTCTTTGATCTGTTTCACCCAGTCTTAGCAAGAATCCTGCTAAGTCAGTTTCTTGATATCTGATCGCCCTGGCCTGCCTTCAGCAAGGATCCTATTAAGTGGGTTTAAGGTGACTCCCCAAGCCTTTCTAATTTTCTAGCCACTGACCCCACTCGCCCTGCTCCGTGGCTGTAAATCCCCACTTGTCAACAACTTTGTGGATTCAGAGTTGAGCTCAATCTGGCATGCAGTCGTCTTGAATAAAGTCTTCTTTACTTTTAACAATCATCAGGCGGCCAGGCGCCGTGGCTCACGCCTGTAATCCCAGCACTTTGGGAGGCTGAGGCAGGAGGATCACCTGAGGTTAGGAGTTCGAGACCAGCCTGACCAACATGGGGAAACTCGTCTCTACTAAAAATACAAAAATTAGCCAAGCATGGTGGTGGATGCCTGTAATCCCAGCTACTCTGGAGGCTGAGGCAGGAGAATCACTTGAACCCGGGAGGCGGAGGTTGTGGTGAGCCGAGATCACACATTGTACTCCAGCCTGGGCAACAGGAGTGAAACTCTTGTCTCCAAAAAAAAAAAAATCAGAATTATATGTGTGTGTGTCTTTTTCACAGAGATGGTGTTTCACTGCTGCCCAGGCGATCCTTGATCTCCTGAGCTCAAGAGGTCCTCCCAGCTTGGCCTCCCAAAGTGCTGGGATTACAGGTGTGAGCCACTGCTGCACCCAGACCTAGATTTTCTTTTTTTTCTTTTTTTGAGACAGGGTCTTGCTGGAGTGCAGTTATGCAGTCACAGCTCACTGCTCCAGCGTGCGCTGCGTCCCACGCTGCACAAGGGTTCAAAGACCTAAGAGGAAACAGTGGGGGATAAAGAAAGACGTACAGACAGACATATATAAAGCTGGGCCAGGCGGTCCAAAAAGCTGATGATGTCAGTCTCTTCGGCCCCGACCTGCCTCAGAGTACTTTATTTTATATGTTTACAAGGCACACTGCAGAGGGAGGGTGCACTTACTTAGAACAGCCTGTGGTTAAAATTCTCACACTTTAGTTAACATGCTTCAGCCAACAACTATCTTGCAGCGAGGTCAGTGAGAGCTGGTTATCTTTTTCTAGGCCTCTCTGCTCTTCTCCGAGACATACACATTCCCCTAGTAAGGGTTGGCTTCTCTGGAGTTCACCCGAAGTTCACAGCAGCCTTGCTGCTGACTCCCCCAGAGAGAGTGGGCTACTCTGGTTCTCTACAATTGCAGTCCTTACCTCCTAGACTCAGGCAACTACAGGTGGGAGCCACTGCACCCCTCAACCTCCCGAGCAGCAGGGACTACAGGCGTGCATCACCTTGCCCGGCTAATTTTTAATCTGTATAGACAGGGCCTTGCTGTGTTGCCCAGGCTGGTCTCAAACTCCCAGGGTCTCAAGTGATCCTCTCACCTCAGCCTCCGGCAATGTTGGCATTCCAGGCATGAGCCACCATGGTGGCCAACTTTATTTAAAAGCTGGGATGTTTCTTTAGACGACACTGCGCTCACTGTGAGATGAAATAACGGCCTTCCCTTAGGCGGGATTCTGCACCACTACAACTAACAAAGTCTATTATTGCTGGGAAATAAGCCTTAGCTTTGCTATTTATTTATTTATTCATTTACTTAGAGATGGGGCTCTGCTCTGCACCCAGGAGCTGACTTATTTAATTATTTAGAGACGGTCTCACTCTGGGCCCAGGCTGGAGTGCAGTGGTGCAATCACAGCAGACTGCTGCCTCGATCTCCTGGCCTCAAGTGATCCTCGTGCCTCAGCCCCCAAAGTGTCAGGGTTACAGATGAGAGACTCCAAGTATGACAGCCTTAGGTTTTCTTTTTTTCTTTTCTGTTTTTTTTGAGACGGAGTCTTGCTGTATCGCCAGGCTGCAGTGCAATGGTGCGATCCTGGCTCACTGCAACTTCCGTTTTCCAGTTTCAAGCAATTCTCCTGCCTCAGCCTCCTGAGTAGCTGGGACGACAGGCATGCACCACCATGCCTGGCTAATTTTTTTGTATTTTTAGTAGAGACGGGGTTTCACCATGTTGGCCAGGCTGGTCTCAATCTCTTGACCTTGTGATCCGCCCGCCTTGGCCTCCCAAAGTGCTGGGATTACAGGTGTGAGCCACCAAGCCTGGCCCTCTTCCCCCCGCCAAGAAGGAATTTCACTCATCGCCCAGGCTGGAGTGCAATGTGCCATCTTGGCTCACTGCAACCTTGACCTCCCGGTTCAAGTGATTCTCCTGCCTCAGCCTCCCAGGTAGCTGAGATTATAGGCATGTGCCACCATGCCCAGTATTTTTAGTGACACGGGGTTTCACTATGTTGGCCAGGCTATCTCTAACACCTGACCTCAGGTGATCTGCTCGCCTTGGCCTCCCAAACTGCTGGGATTACTGGCGTGAGCCACCACGCCCGGCCAGCTTCTCTAAGCTGCAGAGATCGGGTGGGTGTTGATAACTGCAGCAGAATATGGGCCACTGCGACGCGCGAGAGCCAGGAGGAAAAACAGCGGCAGAACAGCCACTGTACACGTCGACAGGCGTACACTCATGGGAGAAAAAAGGCGTGAGCTTAGGGTGGTGAATTTCTTTTTTTTTTTTTTTTGAAACGGAGTTTCACTCTTGTTGCCCAGGCTGGAGTGCAATGGCACGATCTCGGCTCACCGCAACCTCCGCCTCCTGGGTTCAGGCAATTCTCCTGCTTCAGCCTCCCAAGTAGCTAGGATTACAGGCACGCGCCACCACGCCTAGCTAATTCTGTATTTTTGGTAGAGACGAGGTTTTACCATGTTGGTCAGGCTGGTCTCGAACTCCTGATCTCAGGTGATCCACCTGCTTTGGCCTCCCAAAGTGCTAGAATTACAAGCGTGAGCCACTGTGCCCGGCCACGTTCTTGTGGTTTTTGTTGGCTATTGAAATGGCCCCAGATACCAAAATGCTGTTCAGGGTTCCTGAGTGCCAAAGGCCATGATGGCTGCGCTCAGTGGCTCAAGCCTGTAATCCCAGCACATTGGGAGGCTGAGGCAGGATGATGGCCCGAGGCCAGGAATTCAAGGCCAGCCTGGGCAATACAGGGAGACCCCATCAGTACTAACAAAATGTTTAAATTAGCCCATTGTAGTCTGTAGTCTCAGCTACTCAGGAGGCTGAGATTGGAGGATCCACCTGAGACTGGGAGGTCAAGGCTGCAGTGAGCTATAATCACGCCAAAAATAAAATAATTTAAAAAAAGAAAAAAAAGGGCCGGCTCACAGCTGTGATCCCAGCACTTTGGGAGCCTGAGGTGGGCGGATCATGAGGTCAGGAGTTCAAGACCAGCCTGGCCAACATGGTGAAGCCCCGTCTCTACTAAAAATACAAAAATTAGCTGGGCATGGTGGCGCATGCCTGTAATCCCAGCTACTCAGGAACCTGAGGCAGGAGAATGGCTTGAACCGGGACGGAGAAGCAGAGATGGCCGTGAGCCGAGATCGCGCCACTGCACTCCAGCCTGGGCCACAGAGTGAGACTCTGTCTAAAAAAAAAAAAAAAAGTCTGTGATACACCTCAGGAAGAAAATCTGTTTTAGAGAAGCTTCATGCAGACATGAGTTTCAGTGACGTTGGCTCTGAGTTCAAGGGGAATGAATCCACCATAGGTATTAAATAGGGTGTCTTTTTAAAAAGTACCTAAAACAAGGTTGTATGAATTGGTGGATGAAAATGGTGTGGCCTGGGATGGGCACAGTGGCTCACACCTATGATGCCAGCACTTTGGGAGCCCAAGGTGGGCAGATTGCCTGAGGTCAGGAGTTTGAGACCAGCTACTGGACAGCAAGGGGCAGGAGGGGAGGCTGAGGCAGGAGAATTGCTTGAATCTGGGAGGTGGAGGTTGCAGTGAGCCGAGATTGTGCCACTGCACCCATCGTGGGTGACAGAGGGAGACTCCATTAAAAAAAAAAAGACAGAAATTTCTGGATTTGATTCCTATCTCAGTTTTTCTATCTGGAAAATGGCGACAAAACCTGGGTTTCCCAGTGGTTGGTGGGAAGACTGAATGAGGTAATAATGGTGCGTCGTGTGTTGCGGGTGTGGCCACTGCAACAGGAACAGTGCTTGTTTTATTATTATGCCCAAGGATGGAGGACCAGGACGACGAGGTCTTCTGTATGATCTAGAATCTGGACTTACTCACTCCCTGAGCCTCAGTTTCCCGCTCTGTAGAATGAGAGACCCAAGCCAAGCACAGTGGTTCACGCCTGTAATCCCAGCACTTTGGGAGGCCAAGGAGGGTGGATCACCTAAGGTCAGGGGTTCAAGACCAACCTGACCAATGTGGCAAAAACCCCATCTCTACTAAAAAAATATATACGAAATTAGCCAGACGTGGTGGCGGGCACCTGTAATCCCAGCACTTTGGGAGGCCGAGGCAGGCAGATCAACTGAGGTGGCCAACACAGTGAAACTCTGTCGATAGAAAAATACAAAAAATTAGCCTGGTGTGGTGGTGGGCGCCTGTAATCCCAATCACTCGGGAGGCCGAGGCAGCAGAATCACCTGAACCCTGGAGGCGGAGGTTGCAGTGAGCCAAGATCATGCCACTGTACCCCACCCTGGGCCACAGAGGAAGACACCGTTTCAGGGAAAAAAACAAAACTAAACTAAACTAAAAACCAAAAAAAACCGAGACCCACCAGCACCGTCTCCCCACCATGATTCCACCCACTTGCCCGATGCAAGAGCCGCAGTCTCAGTTCCACCGGCCTGGTGTGGACCCGCGGCAGGACCAGGACTCCAGAGGGCGAGAACCTGTAGTGTTTATTGGCAGGACCCCCGCGCGGCCTCCGGACCCCAAAGGGTTTTGACACGAATGACTTAAAGGCACTGGCTTCCGTCCAGCTCCAGCCCCGCCGGCAGGGCCTGGGGGTGGAGACCCCATCACCACGCAGCCTCGACCCGCCCCCTCCTCCAGGGCTGCAGCCCCGCCCAGTGGCTGAAGATGGCAAATGCCTTGCACGGCGGAGGTTCCCAAGATGTAATGAGGCGGGGGGGCCCCCAGGCTAGGGGGGTGGCGGAAAGGGGCTCTTTCTGCGGACGGGTGAGGGACTAGGAGACGCTGGGGGGCAGTCGGGCAGCTGCGGTCTTCTCCACCACGAAGCCGTAGTTATACTTGGGGAGGGAGAGAACAAGAGTCAGCAGGGGCCAGAGTGAAGGGAAGGCCAAATGGGGGGTGACTGAGGAATGGGGGGGGTACTTAGGGACTCAAGTGGTCTTCGGTCCTGGAGAGATGGGTGTGTCTGGGGGAAAGGGGAGACGGGGAAGCCTGGGGCAGGATGGGGGGTCCCAGCTCCTCCAGCACCTCCTCCCTAGCCCTGCACCCACCTCCTCCTCAATGTCCGCCAGAGACTTGATGGTCAGGTCCCCAAATGCAGAGAAGGTCTGGCGGGCAGAGGGGGGTTAGTCTTGGGCCCGATCCCAACCTGAAACCCTCTTTCCCTCCTATTCAAGGAGTCCTGTCCCCCCGGCCCCCCAACTGCCGAATACTCTTGTCGCCCAGGCTGGAGTGCAATGGCGTGATCTGGGCTCCCTGCAACCTCTGCCTCCCGGGTTCAAGTAATTCTCCTGCCTCAGTTTCCCGAGTAGCTGGGATTACAGGCATGTATCACCATGCCCGGCTATTTTTATATTTTTAGTAGGGATGGGATTCCTCCATTTTGGTCAGGCTGGTCTTGAACTCCCGACCTCAGTCGTTCCGCCCACCTCGCCTCCCAAAGTGCTGGAATTACAGGCATGAGCCACCGCACCCAGCTAATTTTTGTATTTTCAGTAGAGACCGGGTTTCACCACGTTGGCCACGCTCATCTTAAACTCCTGGCCTCAAGTGATCCACCTGCCTTGGCCTCCCAAAGTGGTGGGATCACAGGTGCTCACCCAGCATCTCTCCCACTTCCTGCCACAGCCTCTAGCTACTGGGGTCCCCCTGCTTCTCTGGATGGATCCCTCCCCATTCTGAGACTGAGGACCTTCCAGCTGCCACCTGGAGATGACACACTCCAGCCTCAACCCAGGACATGGCCCTCAGTGCTGAGGCGCTGGATACAGGAATGCCCTGGCACCCGGGGTGGTGATGGCAGGTGCAGACCCTGGCTCCTGGAGACCCGACTCACCAGGGGGCTGCAGCTCTTGCCCTCGAATCGGGGGTGGAGTGTGAAGGGAACCCCATCCATAGCTGAAAAACATGCCCGGAGAGGAGGTGCGCTGGAGGGAGCTGCCCACTCTGCCCAGAGAGGCCCTCCCCACACAGCCCGGCTATCAGTCTTTACAGAATCGACCCTTCCTGGCCGTGTAATCCCAAGCCAGTCACACCCTCCACCCCCGTGCCTCCGTTTCCCCACTCTGTGCTCACCTGAGATGCCATAGAGGCTGGAGGCCTCATAGATGGAGTCATTCCTCCGCAGAGTGGATGCCCGAGGGCCCAGCCTTGACAGCGTCCGCTCCAGGAGGCCGCCCTTGCTGAAGGTGGGACGACCCCGGTCAGACCTCATCCTTGGGCCACAGCCACCCCCACTCTGGTGCCTGAGGGCTCACCTGGGCGGGCTGGGTGCATCCAGAGAGAGGCTCTGCATGTCCCGGCTGAGACCTCGGGGCTTGGGCACTGGCCTTGGGGCCTTCGCTTTCTTGCACCAGATGGCAAAGCCACCCATGTCCCTGGAGTGGGAGGGAAGGTGGGAGGGGTGCTGGCCCCCTGTGGAGCCAGGGTTGAGGATGGCCCCCGGGAAGGCAGGGCACCTGGGCCTCCAGGTGACCTTGTCTTTTAAGGGATGATTTTTTTTTTTTTTTTTTGAGATGGAGTTTTGCTCAGGTTGCCCAGGCTGGAGTGCAGTGGCGGGACCTCGGCCCACTGCAATCGTTGCCTTTCAGGTTCAAGCAATTCTCCTGCCTCAGCCTCCTGAGCAGCTGGGATTACAGGCACCTGCCACCATGCCCAGCTAATTTTTATTTTTATTTTTTGAGACAGGGTTTCACCATGTTGACCAGGATGGTCTCAATCTCTTGACCTTGTGATCCGCCCGCCTCGGCCTCCCAAAGTGCTGGGATTATAGGCGTGAACCACCGCGCCTGGCCTTATTTTTATTTTTGAGGCAGAGTCTCACTCTGCCGTGCAGGCTGGAGTGGCATAATCTCTACTCACTGCAACCTCCACCTCCCGGGATCAAGCAATCCTTGTGCCTCAGCCACCGAGTAGCTGGGATTACAAGTGTGCACCACCACGCCCAGTTAATTTTTGTATTTTTAGTAGAGACAGGGTTTCACCATGTTGGCCAGGCTGGTCTTGAACTCCTGGTCTCAAGTGATCCACCAGCCTCGGCCTCCCAAAGTGCTGGGATTATAGGAGTGAGCCACCGCGCCCAGTTTCTGTCTACATTAGACACGTAGTCACTGACTCCTAATTACAGTCCTACAAGAGGGTACACATGTCCCATTTTGTTTGTTTGTTTTGAGACGGAGTCTCGCTCCATTGCCCAGGCTGGAGTGCAGTGGCGTGATCTTGGCTCACTGCAACCTCCACCTCCTGGGTTCAGGTGATTCTCCTGCCTCAGCCCCCCAAGTAGCTGGGCCTACAGGTGTCCACCGCCATGCCCGGCTAATTGTTTTCTATTTTTAGTACAGACGGGGTTTCATCATACTGGCCAGGTTGGTCTCAAACTCCTGATCTTGTGATCTGCCCGCCCCGGCCTCCCAAAGTGCTGGGATTACAGGTGTGAGCCACCACAACCGGCCATGTCCCTGTTTTAACATGCAGAATCTGAGGTTCAGAAGGTGGCTGAAGGAGCCGGGCGTGGTGGCTCACACCTATAATCCCAGCACTTTGGGAGGCTGAGGCGGGTGGATCACGAGGTCAGGAGATTAAGAGCATCCTGGCCAACATGGTGAAACCCCATCTCTACTAAAAATACAAAAAAAAAATTAGCTGGGCGCACGCCTATAGTCCCAGCTACTCGGGAGGCTGAGGCAGGAGAATCACTTGAACCCAGGAGGCGGAAGTTGCAGTGAGCCGAGATCATGCCACTGCACTCCAGCCTGGGCGACAGAGCCAGACTCTATCTCAAAAAAAAAAAAAAGGAAGGTGGCAGAAGAGACCACAGGGGTCAGAAGGGTGAGATCACAAGCTGGGAGGGCAGGAAGGTGAGCGGACACCGGGGTGGCCTACCCGACTCGAAGGTATCCAGGCACCGTCTTTGTCTTCCCACTCAGCCGGACATCAAACACGGCGGTGTCCGCAGCCCCCAGGGGTAACAGCTTCACACACATGCGTTTCTTCTTGGACACAGAGGCCTCTGATGGGGGTGGCAGGGGAGTGAGAGATGGAAGCCAGGAAAGAGTGGGAGTACCCAAAGATGACTCTAGGATGAGGCTCGCCAGGGTGCTGTTTAAGGCAGCCACATGGACTGCATTAGGGATGGGGGTTGGGAGGAGTGGTTAAATCATCAGTGGTACAGATGAAGGAGGGGATTCCAAGCAGCTTTTAGGGGCCACTGGAGCAGGCTGATCTTTGGTGATATGGAGGTGCATTCATGGAGGGGCTAGCTGTGGACTCAGACAAAGCTGGGTGCCCATCCTGGCCCTCAAACCTTACTTTCCCTGAGTCCCCTAATCCTATAGAGGTTGGCCAACTAGCACCCATGAGCCAAATCTGG